CCTCTTCCCCCTCACACCAAAGCCAGACAGGGCTCTGCTCTGTCCCACAGGATTACCTGTGTAGAAGATGTAGTCGAACTTGTTCTCCAGCAGCCTTGTGGTCTCCTGCACACCCCCAGTCACCACAGCAAAGCAGTCCTGCAGGAGAACAGAACAGGTCCCCTCCTGTCACCATCTGTCCTCTCCAACAGCATCCTGGGATGCTGGGACACTCGCTGGGCATGGAGGGAGGAGGTTGGCAGCTCATGGCACGAGAGATAGTGTGCACGAGAGATAGTTGGGCAGCTCATGGCACGAGAGATAGTGGCACGAGAGATAGTGGGCACAGGGCACAGCTTTGAGTGTGCAGGGGTAGCAACACCCCAGCCACGAGACAGGGATGGGGAGAGCATCTCACCTTGTCCAGGTAGCAGGGCAGTGCTTCTGCCACAAGTCTCTCGGTGTTCTTGGATATTTCTGAGGGTTTGATGATGACACAGTTCCCTGGGGGAGATCGAGAGGATGTTGGAGCAGTGACATGGTAACAGCCAGCCCTTCTGGGGATGAAGTGCCTGGATCCTCTCGGCCAGGGGACTGTAAGGTGGGGCTCACCAGCAGCGATGGCCCCGATGAGGGGCCCCAGGATGAGGTAGATGGGGTAGTTCCAGGGCGCTATGATGAGCACCACCCCGTACGGATCCTTGCGGATGAAGGCCGAATCCAACCGGATCGCCTACAGGACACCCACCAGAACAGGTCCCATCCTGCACCACCATCCCACCTGGCTCTGCCTCCCGTCCTCTCCCTCTGCTTCCCTCTCACCAGAGGCCTCTCCACGTGCTCATCCTTCATCCAGTGGGAGAGGTTGTTCAGGGTCTCGTGGAGCTCATTCTTGCACAGGAGCGTCTCGGATAATTCAACCTCAAAGGGCGGCTGGGGACACCGAGGACCTGACATGTCACCTCAGTGTGTCCTGCAGCACAGGGCAGCTCATATCCTCACACTCCACACTGTTTCCCCCAGGATCTGGGGACTGAAGCCCTGGAGCCTCCAAGTCCCATGGTGAATGGGCACCCCCCCAAGGATGCTGAGCACCCCCCTGTGTCTGTGGCATGAAGTTTTTAAGCACTGACTGCTTAAAAAAAATAGGAAAACTGACGCAGGTCCCATTGATCCAGGCAGCAGGAAGGATGGGGAGGGAGGGTGTCCAAAGGAACTAGGTTGGAGAGCAGCAGACAATGAGCCCAGTGTGGTGGTAGAGGCTCCAGCTGCAGAGCCACAGAGTGCAGCCACAGAGTCCAGGCTCGGAATGCGGCAGCCTGGGCAAGCCCTCAGGGAGTGACAATTCAGTGGGAAGCTCGGCCAGGGAGCAGGGATGAAACTGCCCAGGAAATAGGGAAACAGAGGCTGGTAGGTGCGGGAATGGCTATCGATGCTGGGAGACTTCCCACAGCCCCCTCTGCCCACGTCAGGGCAGAGACAAGCTCTGCAGGGGGCTGGGCTGGGACATGCTTCACCTCACTCTCCCGGGTCGGAGTCCATTTGGGGGTGGAGCACTCAGAGGGAGGAGGACACAGCGCCCTAAGCCGGGGTGGGGGAGCCCTGCGGCTCCTCCAGCCGGCAGGTCCCCCCGGTTCCCGGCGCCTCTCACCTTGCCCATGTCCGCAGCGGTGGCCTCCAGGATCGCCTGCTTCTTCTCATCCAGGAAGCGTCCCAAGGCTTCCAGCTGGGCCACGCGGTATTCCAAGGGCCGTGTCTTCCTGGAGAGCCAGGATGCCCGCAGGTGGCTCACCAGCCCTGCGTAGGGGTTCCCGCTGTGGGGACAGGGGTGTCAGGGGGACCCGCAGCCCCATCCCAGCTCCTCCAAGTTCCGCATCACCCTATCCTGTTATCCAACTGCTGCTCCAGGGGGAGGGCAGAGAACCAGGACCCCTCCTGCCGCCCCTCTATCCCACCACACTCTTACCTCATGGCATCAGCATCCACACTCCCCTTCCCACCATCACCCTCAGGGGCTCTCCCAGCGCCGCTCCCGGCAGGCTGCAGGAAGACACTGTCCGTCTCCATGGTCCCACAGGAGCAACACAAGGGTGGTTGCGCCGGGGCTGCCAACTGCAGCTTCCTCCTTCTCTGGAGGTGTCCAGAGAAGGGCGGTTGCCAGCTTCCTGCCCTGCCCCTTGGCTGCCTGCATATCACTGCTGGCTCCACTCCAGCCAAATCCAGCCCAGGGCATCTCCCAGCACCCCCCAAACCGGAGGACAGAGGCACAAAAAGAGGCAGGAGAGAGCTCAATGCAAAGTCTTTACTATAGGCAGAGTTACATGGAGGAAAGAGCGACAGTGAGGAGAAGGAGGATCATCCCCAAGGAAAGGTCCATGTGATGGGAGATGGGGCTGATGGGACCATTTCTCCACCAGGAAGAGGAAAAAGTTTCTGGGCCATTTCAGCTGCATCCTGGAAAATGGTCCAGAGCAGAGGCCACAAGCGTGCAGGAGGGGGCATCCATCCCGGCTGTCCAACGCGCTCCAGCGAGGGAAAGGACACGGTGAGGATCGGGGGGCAGTCCTGGTTCTCCACACCGACTCCGTGCGTGGGGACCCTCGGAGCAGGACGTGGGACCCTCAGAGCAGAGTGCAGGTGCCCCTGCGCTTGACCTCGAAGGCGGCCGTGAGGAGCCCCAGTTTCTGCTGGGTGTAGGGCGGGTAGCGCGGGGCGTTGATGGCCTCCAGCCCCATGCTCCGGTGCAGGCAGCCCCGGTGGTGGGAGAAGGTGTCGAAGGTGAACTTCCCGTGGTATCTTCCCAGGCCACTGTTCCCTGGAACACACAGGACAGGTCCATGCTCAGGATGGGACTCTGCTCCTGATGACACCCGCTCTGAGCATCAACACAAGGGAAAAACCCCCCCACAGGTTTTTCTCTGCTGAGCAACACAGACATGGTGGAGGAATTCCATCCTTCCCAGTGCCTCCTCCAGGTCTATGGATATGCAATCCTACCAATCCTCCTGCAGCTCAGCAGCTTGGAGGCCTAAGCATCTCATTTTTACCCACCTCCATTTATCTACACAAGCTTTGTTGGGTCTACAAGCCTTGATTTCCCTCCATGATGCTCCTCTGTATCTCCCCACGGCTGGAGCTGTTCCATCTTCTTCCTGGAGCTCTTAAAACCTGAAGCCACATTGGTAACACCAGTTCTCCCAATTCCTGTGGCTGGTTTAACTGGAGGTTGAGTCCAGTGACTTCCCGTCTCACCCCAATGACTTCAGCCCATTCACCTGCTCTAAAGTGGCTTTAGCTGATAATTGGAGATGGTTGGTCTGAATCATTCCCAATTAAGATAAGTTACGGAATGGGAAGTACCAATTATTGTTTGCTGAGCCACAGGCAGGTGAGGAATTAATTGTCAAGGTATTTCATTATGTCTGACTCAGCCACCAGCTCTGACAGAGATACTGAGAAGGGGCACCAACAAAGGGAGGGATTTATCCCAGAAATATTTTGGGGAGAGATGAGGAGATTGGGAATTATTCTGAGGAACAACACTCCTGTATTCCTGCATCCCTGGACCATGCTGCAGTGAAGGCCCAGGGCTGAGTGACCTCGCTTTTCACTTGAGAAAACAAATTGCACCAACCCAGAGAGCAAAAACTTCCTCTTTTCCAAGGAGGATCTCCAAGGTTCCATAAGAGGTTCTCCACGTATTTATCAGTTCTTACTATTCCTAAGAGGCAGAATGAAGTTGGTCAGGCCTGGGGGCTCTGGACATACCAATCCCTCCGAAGGGCAGCGAGGTCAGCGACACGTGCATCAGGGTGTCGTTGCCGCAGAAGCCGCCGCTGCTCGTCCGCTCCAGGACCTGGTTCACCACCTGGGAGGGAGCAGAGAAGGCGGATGAGGGTCTTGCACTTGGCAAACGTCACCCAATTCATCCGTTAAATGTTCCCAGAGTGTTCCCTCCAGAGTGCATTCGGGTGGCTGTCGGGGTGGTGCCTGATTTTCCTCCCCACTTGCCCTGCTCCACGGACTCACCTTGCTGTCACAGGAGAAGGCGTAGATGGCCAAGGGTCGCGGCCGCGCGTTGATGAAGTCAATGGCTTCATCCATGTTGGCCACGACAACGATGGGCAGGATGGGCCCGAAGATCTCCTCCTGCATGACAGGGTCCGAGGGCTGCACATCTGCCAGGATCGTGGGAGCTGCGGAGAAGAAACCCGACGGCAACAGCCGGGCACAGAGTTTGGAGATGACACCTTGGACCCCCTGCCAAGACCCATCTCTAAGCACCCAATTCCTATGGAAACCTTCCCTGAACCTCATTTCCCTCTAGAGCCCCCTCTTCGGATGTGAGGCCCTCTCCACACAC